ACGGCTGTCCGTGTACCAGGAACCAAGGTTCCCTTGGTACCGGACCTGAATCGAGTAGCCCCGGTGGAGATGGAGCACGCTCCGGATCCCCCAGATAGGCCGAGGCCGATGTCGAGTATTCTCGACGAGGATATGTCTCGAAGGAGGAAGACCTCCCCCGAAGACTGTCCGAATGCAAGGAACAGAGTCCGGTTGCACTGGACCTGAATCGGGTAGCCCCGATGGAGATGGAGCACGCTCCGGATCCTCTAGATAGGCCGAAGCCGATGTCGAGTACTCTCGACGAGGATATGTCTCGAAGGAGGAAGACCTCCCCCGAAGACTGTCCGAATGCGAGGAACAGAGTCCCGTTGCACTGGACCTGAATCAGGTAGCCCCGATGGAGATGGAGCACGCTCCGGATCCCCCAGATAGGCCGATGTCGAGCACTCTCGACGAGGAGTGACGGGAAGGAGTCGGACGGGACTGTCGGGACAGGAGTCGAGACAGGACTGGATAACCCGGCTTGCGCCGGTCTGCCTTTATATACCGGCGAGCGTCCCCCACTACGCGGTATCTGCGTGGGCGGCCCCCACCACCCAAGCAGTGCATGGCAGTGGCGCCGGACCTCAGGGCGCCGGATTTAACTGGCGTAGTAACGCGAAACGTTACAAATTGAATATTTATTAAATCTTCGCCTTACTAAACAAGTAGGAGCATTAAAGCACGTATTTTCTGTTTCTGCAATAGATATTAGCTAAATAATAAGCGAAGGGAGGGGCTCCGCCCCTCCCCCTTGCACCCCCCTTCCCGCCTGCGCCCATACTTTTCTTAAAATAATTTATTAATAGTATTTTAATAATATTTATTAATATTTATTTTAATAATATTTAGTAATAATTTAATAATATTTGTTACTTTTTTTGTTAATAACTTTTAACGAATAACGAGCGACGGCTAAAACCTCTTGATAGTCACTCAGGGTCATGACTTTGACAACATATATGAAGGTCAAGCTCATTGGGGCTGAGTCCGTTGTTATCAATATTTACCTAAATCTTAGAAGATTTTATTCTTGTTGTACATGGCCTCAAGAAAAATTCTTTGAAATTAAGAGGAAAATATTCTGTGTACAATATTTTAATAGAATAATTTCGTCTTGCATTTACAGTACAAGTTTTGTACTTTAAATCTATATTTATAATTCAGATTATTTATACTGTAGTTTTTCAGTATTTGCAATGAATAACGGATCGCAGCCTTACTACGTCTGTTTTCGTAAATGCAGCGCAATACTTCAATCAATCATCACGGCAGAACGCGGCAATACACATTACTTTTCATTTTACTCATATCGCACGTAAGAGGACATTTTCGCGAGGCCGTAAATCAGCAATTAAGAGACGCCAATTGTCACGATGTATTTGGAAGTAAGCACTGTGTGCACTCAATTAGCTTAAGTAGCAAAATTGTAATTATAAGAAAGAATTACTGAAGAAACTCACGAAAACCCGCGACCCTCATATAGAAATAGCGACGTAATGTTATACCAGATATAAGAAACGGTTGTAAACAATATTTAAGAATTCTAAATGTAAATTAGTAATAGAAAGAAAATTCGTATCCTAATTTTTTTTCCCAAAGGGGCAGGAATGTCGCGAGGCCGATGCCCTCGCGGCAGTAAGCATTCTAAGGAATCATAAATGATTATTTAAGTTGATGAGACATTCGGAGTAATGTAAGCAAAATAATTATATTCAAAAATAAGAATGAAGAGAAGGACGTTAACCGCGGCGTATCAAGAACGATTGCGCAATATACCGAAAAAATTATATTCTCAGCTATCTTAAGAATTTCCCTCTTATTTTTATATTAGTTTGTACTAAAATAGGCGCCAAAAGGATTTTCTTAACTTCGGAGGGAATTCTTCTAAAAAATAGGTTAGTACTATATATTCTTAATTTATGAAAGTATATTCTTAATAACTTAAGTACTATATATTCTTAATTTATAGGAATATAGGTAAGGGGATTAATTCTTACATTAAGAATATACGCTACAAAACATTTGATTTTTTTATTACAGTAAATTTATTTTATTTATACATATAAATATGCTTAAAAGATACATATGAATTTCCATCTGCACCTATTCTACAGCAACTTGGATACAATGAAATAAGATTTTCGTATTTTTTGTAAAACCATTCCATATTTGGTACAACTTCATAACAGTGAAGATGACTATTAAAACCTATAGTATTAAATCCTGATAAAATGAAACCTACTCCATTATTATGGAACGGTTTAACGATCCAATGCAACAATCCAAATAGAGGTAAATTTTCTTGACAATTTCTTATAAGAACCATATTTTTTAAATATTTTATATTATAAATTGTTACTTCCTGAAGTACTATACAATTTTCATGACCAAGAGGTAAGATATATTGAAAATTATTATAATTATCGCAATCAATCAAAAGTTTTTCTGTAGAATGGAAAACTATATTCGGTCGAAAGCCTTGTTTAGATAAAAAGCGAGCTGCGAGACTAAGCGAATATTTTTTAGCAA